CATATTCCAGTTCTGGTGAGAGCTTTCTTTCAACCTTGCAGACAGCTTTCTTTTTGTTGTACTCTTATATAATCTCTCTCTTCTTATAAAACTAGGCCTATTGGATTAGAGCCTCATCCTTATGACTTCTTAACCTTAATGGCCTTCTAAAAATCCCATCTCCAGATATACACACTGCAGCTTCAGCATATGAAGTTTTTGGGGGTGGGGCACAAAATCAGAAGTGATGGTTTTATCTATGCTGTTTCTTGTCATAGGACTATAAAATATATGCTGACATTAGAGAAATGGAAATAAAACATCAGAAATGTAATAAACAGTAAAATATTTATTTCATTACTATAGCCACTAAAGGAAAGATACCACTATAATAATAAAGCCAGAGATAAAATGAGCAAATTATCTTTAAAAAGGTAAAGGAGGTAGATGACCTAATAATTCAACATTCATCAATCATATTCATGGCAGGCACTGTACTGGCAGTGGTGTTATAAAGATGAAATACTTCACAACCTGACAGACAGAGTCACACCCAATAATTAAAGGACTTTACCATAAGTGTTGGACCATTCCTCAGTTCTGTTTCCTCAGCATGCTGGAATTTGATACCCACCCAACTATAATGAACATTTCTTTGCTAAAAGCAATGCATGCCTTTAACTCTCATTCAGGGTCTTTACACAGGGCGCTATGCATAGCCACCACTGCACACATGTAGGGAGCAACTTTCTCAGAATAGCCTTCTCTAGAATCAGGTAATGTACAACATCAGTCAAGGCAGTATCTGGTTTCTAGAACTCCTTACAACTTCGACACTAAATACCAATTCTTTTCTCTTGACTCCCATTAATACTGGGTATTCAATGGTATTTCTTTTCAGTGCTCCTTTTTCCTCCTTTGCAATTATTTTCTTTTCTGCTTATTTTATAAATGTTTCTAGGTCCTCTTCTCTCGTGCTCCATCCACACACTGCATGGTGGTCTTGCTATACTCATAGATTCACTCACTGTTTATATGCTGATGACTCCCAAATCTACACTTTTAGTTCAGATCTCTGGTCTGAATCCCATATCCATAGAAAGAGCCAGTTTCCTAACATATTCAAATATTCTATAGGTCATGTAAACCTGACATGTCCAAACTATAACAAAACTAAAACTGAGGACACCATTCCCTGCCACAGATTGTACAAATGGAGACACTTTCTGTTCTTTCAGTTTGACATTTTTTAGGAGTTATTTTGCTTTTGGTTTTGGTTCTTATCTATACTTCATGTAACTCAGGCCTAAAGGCAGGGTGGAAGCTCCTCTTTCTCCCTGTGGACACTGTAGATTATCTCAAGACTCTTTGAAATCCCTGGTCTCATGCCTTACTATCTCCAGTGGTTGAGAAATTAAAGCTTAAATGTCCCAGATTCCCTTACAGCTCAATTTTCACATACAACTCAGTTTCCACCAAAGATAAACCCATATAATATAATAGCAGAAAGATGGCCGCATCTGTGCTATTTCTTGTAGCATGCTTGGTTTTGGAGATACTTGGTTATTATGTAGCATGGTCATGACAATACTAGTGCTATTTCCCAGTTTTGTGAGGGCTGAGAAGTTAAGAGAGGAAACTTCCATTTCCTGGCAAAGGTCAGAGCCAAAGAAGTCTGCTTCTGGACTCAACCACTCTCAATATAGTTTCCCCAGTGTCTTGATCCCCCATGTTTCTCTGAGAGCTCTCTTGTGTCTGCATGGAGTGTGCAAGACAGGAGATAAAGCCCAGGCCTTGCTCTAGGTAGAGAGAACCTAAGGAGGAATCCTCTACGTAACACTGGGCTGTAACCTCAGTATATTAATAAGAAATAAATCCATTGCTCAAAAGGACACACAAGGAAACTTGCCTGTCTCAACTCTGGCAGCAAGTAGAAGAGAAGGAAAAAAATTTCTCCTCAGGGAATAGAAGAAATAAAGTAAAAAAACCTACAAAACATAAATAAAAAGATTTAAAAATTCATCTGAATTATATCATGAAGTGTCTGTATATGTGAAATGTCTGTTTATGAAAAGATACTGCAAGACCCAGGCATGGTGGCACATGTCGATAATACCAGCTACTCAGGAGGCAGAGGCAAGAGGATCCAGTGTCTAAGGCCAGCCTGGGCAAAGGTATTGAAAGTCTGTCTCAAAAGACATAATTTAAAAAAATATAAGATACTACAAGGATGAAATGTGTTTATAAAGCAGGAAAAGATATTTAAAATACGATAACCAACAAAGTATTAATATTTAGAATATACAAAAACTCCAAAATTCATAGCAGCCTAATTAAAAACAGACAAAAAAAGAAAGCCTTTTTGAAGGAAATATAAATGGCTTTTGGAAACAAGACTTTAAATGCTGGCTGAAGATATGAAATCACAGCAATGCTCAGACTGCTGCTGAGTCTTTCATCTGAAAGCAACTCAGCATTGTCCAGCAAAGTTGAATGAGCTCATGCCCTACGATGCCACAACTTCACCTGTGGTGTGCCAAGACACACGGACAAACAAGCTCATAGGAGCCCTATTTGTAAGGGCAAAACAACTAGATGTAATTCAAATGTCTATCAATGGCAGAATGAATGGTGATCAATCCATACACTGGAACACTATTTAAAAAGTAAAAATAAACTAAAGCCACACACCCACATAGTGATACTAAGTTAACAGCAATTTCCAGAATACCTACCTACAGTGAAATTTCATTTGGAAAAAGCTCAGAAAGAAAACATTTACATATTTAATTATAAACTTACTATAGCACTCATCAAATCAGGCTACACTGGTTGGCCTATTTTCAACTAAACTTTAATGCTCCTAGAGGGCTGGAATGTTTTTTTATTCTGTATTGCTCCCACTACATCTCTCAGTATTTCCTAGAGCAGTCTTGAAATGTTCTCAAAGATTAAATGCTGGCTGAATGAATGAATGAATCAATGAGAGTTCTCCAGGTAAATTAGAGAACCTGCCACTCTACTGAGAGTGCGTGAAATTCCATGACATCCTGAGGAGGAAAAAAGGCAGCAAAGAGTGTGGTGGTTAAAACTGGCTCTGCAGCTTCACTGCCCAGTCCCACTGCACATACTAACTAGTTGCAGGGTGAACTTGGGCAAATTATTTAAGACTCTGTGCCTCAGTTTGCTTTTCTGTGATGTGGAGATGATAATTATCTTCCTCAAAGAGTATATAAATTGTCAATAAAACAGTGTCTAACCAATAAGCACATAAAAGGTACTTCACATCATTAGTCATCAAGGAAATGCAAAATAAAGCTACAATGATATGCCACTACACATCTATCAGAATGGCTGAAATCATAAAACTGAAAAGTACTGGCATTCCAGATAGAGCAACTGGAATGTTCTTATACAGTTACTGGAAGTAAATGTTCACTTTAGAAACCTAGTAATAATTTCTAAAAGCAACAAAATATATTTTCTCTGTGGCCCCAAAACTTCTTCCCTATGTATATATCAAAAAGAAAAAACACAATATAATCACAGAAAGACTTTTACAAGAATTTTGATAGCATAAAACTGGAATAAGCATATATAATTTAAAAATGTAATGAGTACAAATATCCATCAAGCAAAAAAAATGAAAATTGTGTTTATGCATAAACAGCCTACTGCTCAGCAAACTGCTGACATACCTGACACATAAATGAATCTTTAAAACATTATGTTATATTGTTTCATTTGATGAAAAGGCAAGAATAGGCAGCACTGGTCTATTAACACAGACATCCGTATAGTAGTTGCCTTGTACACAGGAAGAATACTGCCTGAAAATCAGTAAGACAAATTTTGGGGGTGACAGAAATGTTGCATATTTTGACCTGAGTCATACCAAAACTGATGAAATTTATCAAACTGTGTGCAAATTTTTACTGTATATAAGTCATATCATAAATGTTAGCATGAAAAGTTGCAATTTTTTTAATCCAATGAAAAGGTTACGTCAGTTTTAAAGAAGTATCTGGCATACAGTAAATATGCAATCAAAGTTATCTACTATCATCAGTTCAGGCTGGCTAATCTGTTAGCCTGGAGAGGAAATAATCATGATCAAGTATGGCTAATCAATTAAAACAGCAAACAAATAATAATAACAAAAAGAAACACCTGTAGGCACCTGTGGCCATGCCTGCAATCCTAGCTACTCAAGAGGCAGAGATCAGGAGGATCCCAGTTCAAAGCCAGTGTGGGAAAATAGTTCAAGATATCCTATTTCGAAAAAACCCATCACAAAAAAGGGCTGGTGGAGAGGCTCAAGGTGTAGGCCCTGAGTTCAAACCCCAATACCTCAAAAAACAAACAAACACACAAAACACCTGAGTGTGCTCTTAAAGCAGAGAAAGAAACAATAATAAGTGATTACAGCCACATTCTGTTGAATTTAGAATTCCATGAAAAGCCCATGAATTACTTTCTACCATGTACTTCTCTGATATACTTAGAGAAGTTCAGGAATTTTTGTTTTTGTGTTTTAAAAACAAACTTTTACTTTTGTCAGGATTACCAATCAAAATGCTTTTAAGTATTATTCAGGCTTTCTTATGAGTTACTTTTATAATATAAATGAATTTTGTATCTTCTAGACCAATATTAGATACTAAAAAAATAACTGTACAATAGGTTTTCCACTTCTTATTAGGATCCTGAATTTGTGTGGTGGTCACTAAGATCCACTCACAGTGAGGGTAAAAATATGGACTGTTATCTTCATCTTACATCTATGATATTGCATTTAAAATTTTTTAAGGGCATGTTAACATTAGCAGTTAATGCTAAAATTAATTGTTACTGTGGAAGGTGAACGATGCCTTTTGAATACCATTTTGGAATGTTTTCACTAGGTCAGATAAAATAAAAGCTTAGCTAAGTATGAAGAGGTAAGTGCACATGTGGGTGGGTATCCCTATAGCATTCCTGTATTAGAAAACTGTTTAAAGATTGAAGTTAGCAATACTCACCTTAACTACTTCGTTGTCAAGATAATTTATGAAACAACCAGAACTTGCTATACATTTTCTACATTTCCAACAACGAAGAATACTTATTTCCTCTTGGTTATGACTTTTACTTGTCAATTCTCCACTTCTTTTCATCTGGGGAAATATTAATGCCATTTTAGAATGTTAAAAAGTAACATTCTAAAATTCATGTAGATAAATTTGATTTCCAAATCCTCAGTACAACAACAGCTACAAGCACAACAGAAAGAACTATAACTAACTGAGGTGCTATAGGATCCCAAGTCCCCGCACCCCCCTACTCTCCCACCCCACTTTCTATGTCCTGACCAAAAATCAGAGTGCCTTAATTGCTCTGTGATACAGCCAGCTGCAAGATTTGTTTTGTTTTTGCTTTTTTTTCAATACCAGGCAAGCGCTTTGAACATTACCAAGAACTAAGTTGTTGTCAAACCACTGAACGTAACTGGCCTGGACCTGAGCCACAATTCCTTAAACCTTTACAGGAATTCTCTAACTTGACCCCTTGTGTGGAAATACCTAAGTATCACATCCCTTTTCTCTAAGTAGAACACCCCCTTTCTCTCACTATCCATTGTTAAGATAAGCTGCAACACTCTGGAAGGTTCCACAGTAAATGCTTTTTACACTGATCACCCTGGGGTTTACTGCTCCTTTCTTTCCAATCCCAACTGGCCCCATTCCTGGATACTCCCTTGTAGGAACTTTCCTACCACAGCTTTTGGGGCAAGTCTCAGTGGGTTCAGTGAGATGAAACAGGGCCTACTAGTTACTAGATGTTAGGTTGGGGCACTCCATAAACAATGTCTAAGATCTAAAGTTCCATTTAATGATGATGATACATTATGTTAGTAACTACTGGCTTATTTTCTTTTTGCAGAACATTTTATGTCTGTTGCTTTCCATTTATCTCTTACTAACAGTGGCAAAAAGCAACAGCTAAAGTGTCACTTCCATAAGTTACTGCAGTGGTTTTAAGAGTCATGACAAAGAACTATATTCTTGTAAATGGGGGGTTTAAACAGCTACAACATTAAAATATGAAATGGCTCACTTTTTAGTTAATTCTATGAAAACTGGAAGTGTTTATGAGACAGGCTAGGGACAGGGAAATTAGCCCTCCATGGGACACCTCATGAGGTCATGGGATGACCTCAGCAAAAGGTCATCTTTCTATGCTAACATTCCTCTTTCTCCCCCGACCACCATCCTTGAACATTTCCTCAGTTGTAAATTGCTTTTTAATTATAAATCTCTTTGCAGATGAAAGTTCCCCAAAGACAAAAGAGTCTCTGAGGTAAAGCCCTCTACTTAAGATCTTATGAATACTGGTCTCATCTCATACATAAAATTAAAGACCTTGTCAATCAAAACTGTCAAGCATCCTAGCTCCTTCTTCAAAGATTACCCAGATTTTTCCACTGTTTGCCCTTACAACTTAACAATTGCCCTTTTTACAAAGATCAGTGCTTCCATCCCATTTGGCCAGGGACCACGGCTATTTTGTCTGGGGTGGCTGTACTTTCATTTTTCCTTTCAATAAAACTCTACTGGCAATATAGGTCTCTGTCCAGTTCTCTGTTCCAGGAATGCAAGAACCTGAAATCTTCTGGAGCAGGGTTTCCTTAGACTTTATTTGTTTTTGGGTGTGTATGGGGTGAGGTGGCACAAACTATGTATACATATGAAGTAAATGTAAAAATGACAAAATAAAAGAAAAAACACTTTAATTGATAGTAAAAATCCCTTATCATGAATGCAGTAATTTCTTCTTTATATTGTTTTCAGAACAGTTTACTATACTACATCTTGTGATAAATGCAATCTAACAGTAACACTCAGAATGGTCACATTAATTTTTGAGGCTACTTTTACACCTGATATTTTATGCTGCTATTCTGATTTAGATCAATTTATTAGTTTTACACTAAAACAAAACAGGTACAGACTAATAACTTGCCTGGTGATTATTAATTACAAAGAAAGGCAATGTTAATTTACTAGGCTACCCACAATGCCCCACCCAATCGCCTGTTCACATTTCCTCATTTGTTTGCTCTTTCATTTTCCACTCATGCAATCTTTACTGAAAGTTAACCATACATTGGACAATGAGTCAAACTCACCATCACAAAGATGAATAGAACTTAATTTCTGTCTTACATGTACTCCCTGCGTAACATATAGAACAGTAGTTCTCTATCCTAGCACATCAGCAACTTTAAAATATAATACCAAGGCCCTATTCCTAAAATGTTTGACTTACTTAGATGGGCAGGAGGTAGGAACAGGTAATTTTTTAAGAACTTCCTAGGTGACTCTATAGTGTGGTTAGAGTGAAGATGGAGATGTATGTAAAAAAAAATTAACTAAAATGCAACAGCTGTAAGAAAGGGAACCTAGACAGACCATAACCAAGTTTAAAGAATTTAAGGAACTCTGAGAGGCACAGCAAGCCCCTCCTCCAGTCAATCCAGCTTTAACCTTCCAGCAGGTAGGCTTTAGTTCACCTCCATTGACTCATCTTCAGAACCCATCTTAGCTGAACTACTTTCTTTAAACTATAACCTCAATGATCTCCTGAACTCCTAATATGCAAATATCCTCCTTGTGTATCTGATTGTGATAGTGGTCACATGGATCTATACACATGATAAAATTATATAGAACTAAATACAAATGAGTAGGTGTAACTGATGAAATCTGAATAAAGAAGGGATTGAAGACAGATCTCTCTGAACTTACAATTCACAAATCATACAAATTTAAAGTTATCTGAAAACAAAAAAAATTACAAAATACTATAAGGTTAAAATTACAGTCAAAATAGTTTTATCAATTAACTTCCTGGATAAACTTATACAATTCTCTTACTTTTTCCCCATTTTTGGTTATGTACTTTTGATTGTCTCTTTATATAACATTACATTTCCCAGAGAGAATAAATATAATTCAATCTTTCTTCTAAAAAAATGGGGGGAGGGGTCTCTTCAGACCTTAAAACCTGATTCTCAGGTCTTGGCATACTTCAAAGAATACTCCTATGCAAATCTTTGCTTAATTCCCTAAAAATACCTTTTTCTGTTTTTCTATCTTCAAATAAAGGTAGAAAAATCTCACAATCAAACATAATACCTGTCACCAAATAAGAAACTTAACAAATGTTTGTTGAAATCAAATGAACAATGTATGGCAGTGAGTCCAGCTTACACTGTCTTTTTCTAATACTGCATGATAATTGTGTCTTGCCAATTAGTGGGATGAATCAAATAAGAGTCCTTTTGGGAAAGAGAAATAGCTGTGTGTATATATATCTGAGCATGAAAGGGGAACAGGAGACTACCAAATAATGATCTACTTACAGGAGAACTGAGATGCTTTGTCAGAGAACGTATGCTAAAATAAAGAGCTAAACAGGGTAACCCATCCTATTAATAAGATGGTAGTCTTTGAATAAATGTGAATAGCAGTTTGTTGGCTGAAAACTCAAATCCATCCCCACCTCAGCACCTTAGCCACTAGTATTGGCCTTAGGAAGACAAAGAACTGTAGAAGTAAAACAACTGAAACTGTTTTCTGAACTCTATGGCAGTTAGGGGGATCTAAACAATTTTAGGTAGTATAAACCACATGGCTTTAATACTCTGAGGACTTTGACCACACCCTAGAGAACTACTGAAATAAGCAGAGAAGGAACCAAGAGATGATGGGAAAGGGAAATAGTACAGTATAATATGGAATTTAACATATTGCTGGATATGTATGAGATGCACCCCCAGAAATACTTTGAGGGATTCTGTGGAGAGATTGGGCTCTGAACCAACAGAGGAGGATAACAAACATTTAGGGTCTGATATTCATGTTCATACTATTATAGACTGTTAAGGCCTAGAAAAGATACCCTAGTCTTCTGCTTTCCTTCCAAATCCTGTTCCTCATGTCTTGCTCCAGTACCTATAGGGTTATAAATGTATGTTTTTTCAAAATGGAGAGCTCCCTGCTTGGATGCTAGGTCTTTCTACTTATTATTAGTTTTTGTTATGGTAACTAGACATTCTTTATCTCCTGTTCCACACTTGGCCATTTTAACAAAGGTGTCTGCTATTATCTTCTTAACTTTCTTAATACAGCCTGCTCATAGATTTCTTCTTGCTATGCTTCATTATCTATAATGATATTCCCATCATTTTCTGGCATTTCCTGAATGCATTGGACATTTGGAAAATAAAGGTTCACTGAATTATATCTCTCAAATACTGAGAAATGTTATCAGTACCATATTGCAGAAAAAAATCGCATTCATTAGTATTAACACCAGTCTTTACAAAAAATCTAATTACTGGGTAAGATTCAAGGTAATAGTAATGGATAAAAGTTTTCCAAATTTCCAGTTTTCATTTAACGTTCAAGTTTTACCACTGTGACAAACATTACAAAAATCCCTATCTGAATACAAATAGTTTGTCAATCATTTGAGTAAAAATGGTTTGCATTGGGAAGGTTGTATACCAGCTCAACTAAAACACTGTACATGGGCTTTTCCTCAAGAAAAGATGTCCTCATTAGATGACAGAGGGGCTTTTTAGTTCTTCCCATTGTTTTTCACAAAAGATGTTTAAAAGATATTTTTAAGAATCAAGATTAATAAAACCAGTAATAGTTACTATTTCAATAAAGGTTTAAGACACTTTATTACCATATACTAGTTGTACAGGGAGTTTCATTGTGATATTTCCACATATGCATATAATGTACTTTGATCAAAATCACCCTCTTCCTCTCTATTCCTCCTTTCCCCCTTTTTGTAATTTTAAATGGCTTATGATATTTTCATATGTGTATATGATGTACTTCAGTCATATTTTCCCCCATTACTGTCTCCTTTCCCCCTCTCCCTTCCTGCTACTTTTTCCCCCATGAACAGTTCATGTCATTTTTTTTAGGTCTAGATTCCACATATGAGAGAAAATATGTGATATTTTCTTTCTGAGTCCAGCTTACTTCACTTAACATGATGATCACCAGTTCCACCCATTTTCTTGAAAACATATAGTTTCATTCTCCTTTATGCCTGAATAATACTGCATTGTATATACATGCTACATTTTCTTTAGCCATCCATCTGTTGATGGGG